CACACATTGGAATTTCGCTAACTCCTCCGAAGGCTTTCGTTCGACCGGCACCACATTTGCGCAGGCCAATCTACCCCCCATGGCCATTAAAAGTTGTACAAATCATGACGCTGCACCCCACGGTTTACGTTCTAGGGGGCGCCAAAGATAACCCAAAATCCACATTCTTAAAAGTCTTTTAACTTTTTATTTTTGTCCTCACTGCCCTCCAAGTTTTCTAGGATGATGCAATGTCCAGCCATCAACACATTTGTGAAGGAATTTTTACTCCCCAAAAGAGCGCCCCCCCATGGCAGGAGAAAAAAGTCAATTTTTTCTTGTCCCCTTACATGAAAATACACATTGTTGAGTGTCACGCCTGAACGCTTTGTCATATTGACACAAAAATTGACAATCATGTGTATCTCAATTAGATTTACGAAAAAGTCAAAAAGCGCGTATCTGTATAATGTACGGTTAAAGGGCTATTTCGCATTTTTTGCCGATTCGCACACATTGGAATGTGGCTATCTCCTCCTAAGGCTTTCGTCCCACCGATACCAAATTTGCTCAGGGCAATCTACACCCCATGCCCATTCAAAGTTGTAAAAATCATGACGCTGCACCCCACGGTTTACGTTCTAGGGGGCGCCAAAGATGACCCAAAAATCCACATTCTTAAAAGTCATTTTGGCCACTGCAGGAGTACAGAGTACTGCAGTTCTAGGGGGCGCCAAAGATGACCCAAAAATCCACATTCTTAAAAGTCTTTTTGGCCACTGCAGGAGTACACACACACACACTCAGAGTCTGTTTTTTAGCACCTGCAAAAACATGCTGTTTACATATTTGACAAGAATGCAGAGGCTTCCTTTTGCCGCTGAAAAAAATCATATTTCAAACACAACTTGACTGTTCATTTCTCCAAAAGACAACCATGAAGCTCCATCCAAACCTGAAGCAGATAGTTGGTGCATGTGTACAGTAACCTGAGGGGAGTGAGGTGACTATTTCTGAGGAGAACATGAGCAGTGAAGATTCACCTTGGAGCTAGAACAGGGACGTGCACATGATTATACAGGGGCAGGGGCTCAAGTTTTTTCCAGTCATTTATACAATATGGAAATTAATGTGAAATTAAACCACAAATATGTGTGATGAACTGTTTTTAAAACTTAAACTTCAAATAAAAATTGTAAACTTCAAAACATATGCAAATTTTTAACAAAGAACATAGTAATTTACCTCTATTTACATCAAAATGCAGGCAATGGCCCAGGCGTTCTTTGTAAAATTATTTACAAAACACTGTATAGTCTCACAAATGTCACTTTTTATTTATGCCACTACAAAAAATGATGAATGATGTAAATGATGCATGATGTAAAACATGATGTAAAAAACTTGTGTAGATCCTCCTCTATGTCAGTCCATGTGTAATTTTTCCATAATTCTTTGTTTTTTGCAGCATTTTTGTTAGTGTAACTGCAGATTGTGCTGACAGTCTATGGCAAAAAAAACAAAAACTGAAAATGCCTCAACATGAACCCCTGGTGGTCTCTGAGGGTGAAACCTGCTAACTGCTGCAGCTCTGTCAGCTTCAGTCTCCCATGCAGAGCTCGGAGCGCATGTGTGGCTCTGCACCCTTAGCAGCGTTGCTAACTCCTCAGTAAGGAAAGCCTGCTTCATGTCAGAGTCTCTAAACTCCAGAAGAAGTCGATAAAAGTCCCTTTCTTTCTAAAAAAAGTCGTTAGGGGGTCTGAAAAGTAATTGAATCTAACAACAAAGTCGCTAGGTTTGCAACTACGTGTCCCAGACTGCATCCCTGCTGACAGTCCCTCCCTCCCTTCTCATATTGCAGGAAGAACGTAAGCGCCCGCCCCTTGTCAATCAGTCACCATATAATTTTGGATTGGTTGTTGTGGTGAAGTTTTCCACCAATAGGAGAGATGTTGTGGTGTTTTTTTTTCTTTTGGCAAGCCTTTTCCGCCTGTAAGACCTGTCGCTAATGTGTGCATGCTATGTTTTCCTGTCTCATACAGCGCGATCGAGCGCCGAACGTGATCAAAATAAGCAGAAAAAAAGTATCGCGGACATAATTTATCATAACTCTGGTTTTATTTGGCCTATCAACACAATTTAAAAACTGGTATATAGGTTGAGGTCCTCACTTTTGAGATAAGTTGAAACGGAGAGGTAACGAGGCTCCGTCTTGCAGCTACATCCGGTTAAATATGTCATGTGACTTGAACGTGGGGAGCGTCAATCGAATCGAATCAAACCTAACTCTCAGATGAATCTTCAAAATTCACCTCAGAAATATGCTTATTATTCTTCTCAGAGTACTGCAGGATACACACACACACACGCACACACACACACACACACACACACACACACACACACACACACACTCAGAGTCTGTTTTTTAGCACCTGCAAAAACATGCTATTTACATATTTGACAAGAATGCAGAGGCTTCCTTTTGCCCCTGAAAAAAATCAAATTTCAAACACAACTTGACTGCTCATTTCTCCAAAAGACAACCATGAAGCTCCATCCAAACCTGAAGCAGATAGTTGGTGCATGTGTACAGTAACCTGAGGGGAGTGAGGTGACTATTTCTGAGGAGAACATGAGCAGTGAAGATTCACCTTGGAGCTAGAACAGGGACGTGCACATGATTATACAGGGGCAGGGGCTCAAGTTTTTTCCAGTCGTTTATACAATATGGAAATTAATATGAAATTAAAAAACAAAGTATGACTGTCCTGTGTAGGTGACAGTGATATCCAATAGGCTAGGCACTCACGAGGCTGGCTGTGGCAAGTGTAAGTGAAAGCAACACGCACTGGCAGGAAGAACAGCAAACGCCGATGAAGGAAAAGGGTCTTTGCAGTGATGGGCATTACCAGAGAGGGCGATGGCCAGAGGACATAAATGTGACGGGGAGGCAGCGCGTTGGGGGGGGGGGGGGGGGGGGCGACACGGCTCGGGCCCGCCAGTGCCCCAACGGGGCCCTAGTTCTTTCTTCTTTTTCCTCCCCGTTGAACTGGAAAATGGCCCACTTCCCACTGGCGAAAACTCATGAAATTTGGCAGGACGACCGGGCCTGGTGAAAAATTCGATATTCTGAAGTCGCCCAAACAATAAAATGCAAAATGGCTCCATAGCGCCCCCTAAGGTGGAAATTCACACTATTGACTGTCACGCCTGTACGCTTTGTCATATTGACACAAAAATTGACACACATATGTATCTCAATAACATCTACAAAAAAGTCAGTGCGGCCGTATCTGTCAAAATTACGGTTAAAGGGTTATTTCGCATTTTTTGCCGATCCGCACACATTGGAATTTCGCTAACTCCTCCGAAGGCTTTCGTTCCACCGGCACCACATTTGCTCAGGCCAATCTACACCCCATGGCCATTAAAAGTTATTCAAATCATGACGCTGCACCCCACGGTTTAGGTTCTAGGGGGCGCCAAAGATAACCGTAAAATCCACATATTTAAAAGTCTTATAACTTTTTATTTTTGTCCCCACTGGCCTCCAAGTTTTCTAGGATGATGCAATGTCCAGCCATCAACACATTTGTGAAGGAATTTTTACTCGCCAAAAGAGCGCCCCCCCATGGCAGGAGAAAAAAGTCCATTTTTTCTTGTCAACTAAGGTGAAAATACACATTGTTGAGTGCTACGCCTGTATGTTTTGTCGTATTGACACAAAATTTTACATACACGTGTATTTCAATAAGATCTTCGAAAAAGTCAATGGCCACGTATCTGTAAAATGTACGGTTAAAGGGTTATTTCGCATTTTTTGCAGATTCGCACACATTGGAATTTCGCTAACTCCTCCAAAGGCTTTCGTTCCACCGGCACCACATTTGCTCAGGCCAAACTACACCCCATGGCCATTAAAAGTTATTCAAATCATGACGCTGCACCCCACGGTTTAGGTTCTAGGGGGCGCCAAAGATAACCCTAAAATCCACATATTTAAAAGTCTTATAACTTTTTATTTTTGTCCTCACTGGCCTCCAAGTTTTCTAGGATGATGCAATGTCCAGCCATCAACACATTTGTGAAGGAGTTTTTCTCGTTAAAAGAGCGCCCCCCCATGGCAGGAGAATAAAGTCAAGTTTTTCCTGTTCATCATTCAATGGCTCAAACGCACTGCTCTCTCGGCAAAAGCGAAAGGAGGAGCAACTTGCCATTTGGATATATCTTAGCTGTGTTTGTGCCCTCACTCATGGTCCAGATTTTTTTCAAATAGGACATGGAGTTTTTCTGCAGCGAGCGTTTTGGTAGAAACTGCGCCTCCCGTTCATTATAATGGTAAATGACCACAAACAAGTGCGCACACCATCTTTGGACCTTGAGTGTGACGCGATCGGGTGGGGGAGGCGGTCGCGCTGGGGGCGGCGTGACACCGCTCGGGCCCGCCAGTGCCCCAACGGGGCCCTAGTTTGTTATTATTATTATTATTTTTCCTCCGCTTTAAACTGGAAAATGGCCCACTTCCCACTGGCGAAAACTCAGGAAATTTGGCAGGACGACCGGGCCTGGTGAAAAATTCGATATTCTGAAGTCGCCCAAACAATAAAATACAAAATGGCTCCATAGCGCCCCCTAAGGTGAAAATTCACACTATTGACTGTCACGCCTGTACGCTTTGTCATATTGACACAAAAATTGACACACACATGTATCTCCATAAGATCTACAAAAAAGTCAGTGGGGGCGTATCTGTCAAATGTACGGTTAAAGGGTTATTTCGCATTTTTTGCAGATCCGCACACATTGGAATTTCACTAACTCCTCCGAAGGCTTTCGGTCCACCGGCACCACATTTGCTCAGGCCAATCTACACTCCATGGCCATTCAAAGTTGTACAAATCATGATGCTGCACCCCATGGTTTAGGTTCTAGGGGGCGCCAAAAATAACCCTAAAATCCACATTCTTAAAAGTTTTATAACTTTTTATTTTTGCCCTCACTGGCCTCCAAGTTTTCTAGGATGATGCAATGTCCAGCCATCAACACATTTGTGAAGGAATTTTTACTCCCCAAAAGAGCGCCCCCCCATGGCAGGACAAAAAAGTCAATTTTTTCTTGTCCCCTAAGGTGAAAATACACATTGTTGAATGTCACGCCTGTACGCTTTGTCATATTGACACAAAATTTGACAATCACGTGTATCTCAATAAGATCTACGAAAAAGTCAATGCGCGCGTATCTGTAAAATGTACGGTTAAAGGGCTATTTCGCATTTTTTGCCGATTCGCACACATTGGAATGTGGCTAACTCCTCCTAAGGCTTTCGTCCCACTGACACCAAATTTGCTCAGGCCAATCTACACCCCATGGCCATTCAAAGTTGTAAAAATCATGACGCTGCACCCCATGGTCTACGTTCTAGGGGGCGCCAAAGAGGACCCAAATATCCACATTTTTAAAGTCTTATAACTTTTTATTTTTGTCCTCACTGGCCTCCAAGTTTTCTAGGATGATGCAATGTCCAGCCATCAACACATTTGTGAAGGAATTTTTTCTCCCCAAAAGAGCGCCCCCCAATGGCAGAAGAAAAAGTCAAGTTTTTCCTGCCCATCGCTCAATGGCTCAAACGCATCGCTCTCTGGGCAAAACCGAAAGGAGGAGCAACTTGCCATTTGGATATATACTAGCTGTGTTTGTGCCCTCACTCATGGTCCAGACTTTTTTCAAAAAGGACATGGAGTTTGTCTGCAGCGAGCGTTTTGGTAGAAACTGCGCCTCCCATTCATTATAATGGTAAATGACCACAGACAAGTGCGCACACCATCTTTGGACCTTGAGTGTGACGCGATCGGGAGGGGTAGGCGGTCGCGCTGGGGGCGGCGTGACACGGCTCGGGCCCGCCAGTGCCCCACCGGGGCCCTAGTTCTTTCTTTCTTTCTTCTTTTTCCTCCCCTTTGAACTGGAAAATGGCCCACTTCCCACTGGCGAAAACTCATGAAATTTGGCAGGACGACCGGGCCTGGTGAAAAATTCGATATTCTGAAGTCGCCCAAACAATAAAATGCAAAATGGCTCCATAGCGCCCCCTAAGGTGGAAATTCACACTATTGACTGTCACGCCTGTACGCTTTGTCATATTGACACAAAAATTGACACACATATGTATCTCAATAAGATCTACAAAAAAGTCAGTGCGGCCGTATCTGTCAAATGTACGGTTAAAGGGTTATTTCGCATTTTTTGCCGATCCGCACACATTGGAATTTCGCTAACTCCTCCGAAGGCTTTCGTTCCACCGGCACCACATTTGCTCAGGCCAATCTACACCCCGTGGCCATTAAAAGTTATCAAAATCATGACGCTGCACCCCAAGGTTTAGGTTCTAGGGGGCGCCAAAGATAACACTAAAATCCACATATTTCAAAGTCTTATAACTTTTTATTTTTGTCCCCACTGGCCTCCAAGTTTTCTAGGATGATGCAATGTCCAGCCATCAACACATTTGTGAAGGAATTTTTACTCGCCAAAAGAGCGCCCCCCCATGGCAGGAGAAAAAAGTCCATTTTTTCTTGTCCCCTAAGGTGAAAATACACATTGTTGACTGTCACGCCTTTACGCTTTGTCAAAATGACACAAAAATTGACACACACATGTAACTCAATAAGATCTACGAAAAAGTCAATGCGCGCGTATCTGTCAAATGTACGGTTAAAGGGTTATTCCGCATTTTTTGCCGATCCGCACACATTGGAATTTCGCTAACTCCTCCGAAGGCTTTCGTTCCAACGGCACCACATTTGCTCAGGCCAATCTGCACCCCATGGCCATTAAAAGTTATTCAAATCATGACGCTGCACCCCACGGTTTAGGTTCTAGGGGGCGCCAAAGACAACCCTAAAATCCACATATTTCAAAGTCTTATAACTTTTTATTTTTGTCCTCACTGGCCTCCAAGTTTTCTAGGATGATGCAATGTCCAGCCATCAACACATTTGTGAAGGAATTTTTACTCCCCAAAAGAGCGCCCCCCCATGGCAGGAGAAAAAAGTCCATTTGTTCTTGTCCCCTAAGGTGAAAATACATATTGTTGAGATTCACGCCTATACGCTTTGTCATATTGACACAAAATTTGACACACATATGTATCTCAATAAGATCTACAAAAAAGTCAGTGCGGCCGTATCTGTCAAATGTACGGTTAAAGGGTTATTTCGCATTTTTTGCCGATCCGCACACATTGGAATTTCGCTAACTCCTCCGAAGGCTTTCGTTCCACCGGCACCACATTTGCTCAGGCCAATCTACACCCCGTGGCCATTAAAAGTTATTCAAATCATGACGCTGCACCCCACAGTTTAGGTTCTAGGGGGCGCCAAAGACAACCCTAAAATCCACATATTTCAAAGTCTTATAACTTTTTATTTTTGTCCTCACTGGCCTCCAAGTTTTCTAGGATGATGCAATGTCCAGCCATCAACACATTTGTGAAGGAATTTTTACTCCCCAAAAGAGCGCCCCCCCATGGCAGGAGAAAAAAGTCCATTTGTTCTTGTCCCCTAAGGTGAAAATACATATTGTTGAGATTCACGCCTATACGCTTTGTCATATTGACACAAAATTTGACACACATATGTATCTCAATAAGATCTACAAAAAAGTCAGTGCGGCCGTATCTGTCAAATGTACGGTTAAAGGGTTATTTCGCATTTTTTGCCGATCCGCACACATTGGAATTTCGCTAACTCCTCCGAAGGCTTTCGTTCCACCGGCACCACATTTGCTCAGGCCAATCTACACCCCGTGGCCATTAAAAGTTATCAAAATCATGACGCTGCACCCCAAGGTTTAGGTTCTAGGGGGCGCCAAAGATAACACTAAAATCCACATATTTTAAAGTCTTATAACTTTTTATTTTTGTCCTCACTGGCCTCCAAGTTTTCTAGGATGATGCAATGTCCAGCCATCAACACATTTGTGAAGGAATTTTTACTCCCCAAAAGAGCGCCCCCCCATGGCAGGAGAAAAAAGTCCATTTTTTCTTGTCCCCTAAGGTGAAAATACACATTGTTGACTGTCACGCCTTTACGCTTTGTCAAAATGACACAAAAATTGACACACACATGTAACTCAATAAGATCTACGAAAAAGTCAATGCGCGCGTATCTGTCAAATGTACGGTTAAAGGGTTATTCCGCATTTTTTGCCGATCCGCACACATTGGAATTTCGCTAACTCCTCCGAAGGCTTTCGTTCCAACGGCACCACATTTGCTCAGGCCAATCTACACCCCATGGCCATTAAAAGTTATTCAAATCATGACGCTGCACCCCACGGTTTAGGTTCTAGGGGGCGCCAAAGACAACCCTAAAATCCACATATTTCAAAGTCTTATAACTTTTTATTTTTGTCCTCACTGGCCTCCAAGTTTTCTAGGATGATGCAATGTCCAGCCATCAACACATTTGTGAAGGAATTTTTACTCCCCAAAAGAGCGCCCCCCCATGGCAGGAGAAAAAAGTCCATTTTTTCTTGTCCCCTAAGGTGAAAATACATATTGTTGAGATTCACGCCTATACGCTTTGTCATATTGACACAAAATTTGACAATCACGTGCCTTGCCTGGTATCATTTTTTTTCAGCACAACCTCACCTGTGCGAATTTACAGTTATTTTATCATGTTGACATACTGAATTTACACAATGGACCCAAATTCACACACAAAACATAAAATCCGAGTGGAAAAAAGTAACATTTTTACTGTGAAAACCACAAATATGTGTGATGAACTGTTTTTAAAACTTAAACTTCACATAAAAATTGTAAACCTCAAAACATATGCAAATTTTTAACAAAGAACATAGTGATTTACCTCTATTTACATCAAAATGCAGGCAATGGCCCAGGCGTTCTTTGTAAAATTATTTACAAAACAGTAGTGTAAAGTGTCTATGGCACAAAAAAAAAAAAAAACTGAAAATGCCTCAACATGAACCCCTGGTGGTCTCTGAGGGTGAAACCTGCTAACTGCTGCAGCTCTGTCAGCTTCAGTCTCCCATGCAGAGCTCGGAGCGCATGTGTGGCTCTGCACCCTTAGCAGCGTTGCTAACTCCTCAGTAAGGAAAGCCTGCTTCATGTCTGAGTCTCTAAACTCCAGAAGAAGTCGATAAAAGTCCCTTTCTTTCTAAAAAAAAGTCGTTAGGGGGTCTGAAAAGTCATTGAATCTAACAACAAAGTCGCTAGGTTTGCAACTACGTGTCCCAGACTGCATCCCTGCTGAGAGTCCCTCCCTCCCTTCTCATGTTGCAGGAAGAACGTAAGCGCCCGCCCCTTCTCAATCAGTCACCATATAATTTTGGATTGGTTGTTGTGGTGAAGTTTTCCACCAATAGGAGAGATGTTGTGGTGTGTTTTTTTTTCTTTTGGCAAGCCTTTTCCGCCTGTAAGACCTGTCGCTAATGTCTGCATGCTATGTTTTCCTGTCTCATACAGCGCGATCGAGCGCCGAACGTGATCAAAATAAGCAGAAAAAAAGTATCGCGGACATAATTTATCATAACTCTGGTTTTATTTGGCCTATCAACACAATTTAAAAACTGGTATATAGGTTGAGGTCCTCACTTTTGAGATAAGTTGAAACGGAGAGTCAACGAGGCTCCGTCTTGCAGCTACATCCGGTTAAATATGTCATGTGACTTGAACGCACACACAGACACACACACACGCACACACACACACACACACACACACACACACACACACACACACACACACACACTCAGAGTCTGGTTTTTAGCACCTGCAAAAACATGCTATTTACATATTTGACAAGAATGCAGAGGCTCCTTTTGCCCCTGAAAAAAATCAAATTTCAAACACAACTTGACTGGTCATTTCTCCAAAAGACAACCATGAAGCTCCATCCAAACCTGAAGCAGGCAGTTGGTGCATGTGTACAGTAACCTGAGGGGAGTGAGGTGAGTGCTTCTGAGGAGAACATGAGCAGTGAAGATTCACCTTGGAGCTAGAACAGAGACATGCACATGATTATACAGGGGCAGGGGCTCAAGTTTTTTCCAGTCGTTTATACAATATGGAAATTAATGTGAAATTAAAACACAAAGTATTAATAGAAAGGTAATGACTGTCCTGTGTAGGTGACAGTGATATCCAATAGGCTAGGCACTCACGAGGCTGGCTGTGGCAAGTGTAAGTGAAAGCAACACGCACTGGCAGGAAGAACAGCAAACGCCGATGAAGGAAAAGGGTCTTTGCAGTGATGGGCGTTACCAGAGAGGGCGATGGCCAGAGGACACAAATGGGACGGGGAGGCAGCACGTTGGGGGGGGAAGGCGACACGGCTCGGGCCCGCCAGTGCCCCAACGGGGTCCTAGTTAGGGCCCGAGCGTAGCTGCTAAGCAGCTGCGAGAGCCCTCTTGTTCCTGATGGATTCTTCTTTTTAGGGCCCGAGCGTAGCTGCTAAGCAGCTGCGAGAGCCCTATTATTCCCCAAGTGGTTTTTCTTTGTTTCTTTCTTTAGGGCCCGAGCCAGCTGCAGAGCAGCCGGGCGTAGGCCCTATTATTCCCCAAGTGGTTTTTCTTTGTTTCTTTCTTTCTTTCTTTCTTTCTTTCTTCTTTTTCCTCCCCTTTGAACTGGAAAATGGCCCACTTCCCACTGGCGAAAACTCATGAAATTTGGCAGGACGACCGGGCCTGGTGAAAAATTCGATATTCTGAAGTCGCCCAAACAATAAAATGCAAAAAGGCTCCATAGCGCCCCCTAAGGTGGAAATTCACACTATTGACTGTCACGCCTGTACGCTTTGTCATATTGACACAAAAATTGACACACATATGTATCTCAATAAGATCTACAAAAAAGTCAGTGCGGCCGTATCTGTCAAAATTACGGTTAAAGGGTTATTTTGCATTTTTTGCCGATCCGCACACATTGGAATTTCGCTAACTCCTCCGAAGGCTTTCGTTCCACCGGCACCACATTTGCTCAGGCCAATCTACACCCCGTGGCCATTAAAAGTTATCAAAATCATGACGCTGCACCCCAAGGTTTAGGTTCTAGGGGGCGCCAAAGATAACACTAAAATCCACATATTTAAAAGTCTTATAACTTTTTATTTTTGTCCTCACTGGCCTCCAAGTTTTCTAGGATGATGCAATGTCCAGCCATCAACACATTTGTGAAGGAATTTTTACTCCCCAAAAGAGCGCCCCCCATGGCAGGAGAAAAAAGTCCATTTTTTCTTGTCCCCTAAGGTGAAAATACACATTGTTGAGTGTCACGCCTATACGCTTTGTCAAAATGACACAAAAATTGACACACACATGTATCTCAATAAGATCTACAAAAAAGTCCATGCGCGCGTATCTGTCAAATGTACAGTTAAAGGGTTATTCCGCATTTTTTGCCGATACGCACACATTGGAATTTCGCTAACTCCTCCGAAGGCTTTCGTTCCACCGGCACCACATTTGCTCAGGCCAATCTACACCCCATGGCCATTAAAAGTTATTCAAATCATGATGCTGCACCCCATGGTTTAGGTTCTAGGGGGCGCCAAAAATAACCCAAAAATCCACATTCTTAAATGTTTTATAACTTTTTTTTTTTTATCCTCACTGGCCTCCAAGTTTTCTAGGATGATGCAATGTCCAGCCATCAACACATTTGTGAAGTAATTTTTACTCCCCAAAAGAGCGCCCCCCCATGGTAGGAGAAAAAAGTCAATTTTTTCTTGTCCCCTTACATAAAAATACACATTGTTGAGTGTCACGCCTGAACGCTTTGTCATATTGACACAAAAATTGACAATCATGTGTATCTCAATTAGATCTACGAAAAAGTCAAAGAGCGCGTATCTGTATAATGTACGGTTAAAGGGCTATTTTGCATTTTTTGCCGATTCGCACACATTGGAATGTGGCTATCTCCTCCTAAGGCTTTCGTCCCACCGATACCAAATTTGCTCAGGCCAATCTACACCCCATGGCCATTCAAATTTGTAAAAATCATGACGCTGCACCCCACGGTTTACGTTCTAGGGGGCGCCAAAGATGACCCAAAAATCCACATTCTTAAAAGTCATTTTGGCCACTGCAGGAGTACAGAGTACTGCAGTTCTAGGGGGCGCCAAAGATGACCCAAAAATCCACATTCTTAAAAGTCTTTTTGGCCACTGCAGGAGTACAGCGTACTGCAGGATACACACACACATACACACACGCCAACATACACACACACACACACACACACACACACACACACACACTCACACACTCAGAGTCTGTTTTTTAGCACCTGCAAAAACATGCTGTTTACATATTTGACAAGAATGCAGAGGCTTCCTTTTGCCCCTGAAAAAAAATCAAATTTCAAACACAACTTGACTGTTCATTTCTCCAAAAGACAACCATGAAGCTCCATTTCAAACCTGAAGCAGATAGTTGGTGCATGTGTACAGTAACCTGAGGGGAGTGAGGTGACTATTTCTGAGGAGAACATGAGCAGTGAAGATTCACCTTGGAGCTAGAACAGGGACGTGCACATGATTATACAGGGGCAGGGGCTCAAGTTTTTTCCAGTCATTTATACAATATGGAAATTAATGTGAAATTAAACCACAAATATGTGTGATGAACTGTTTTTAAAACTTAAACTTCAAATAAAAATTGTAAACTTCAAAACATATGCAAATTTTTAACAAAGAACATAGTAATTTACCTCTATTTACATCAAAATGCAGGCAATGGCCCAGGCGTTCTTTGTAAAATTATTTACAAAACACTGTATAGTCTCACAAATGTCACTTTTTATTTATGCCACTACAAAAAAACATGATGTAAATGATGCATGATGTAAAACATGATGTAAAAAACTTGTGTAGATCCTCCTCTATGTCAGTCCATGTGTAATTTTTCCATAATTCTTTGTTTTTTGCAGCATTTTTGTTAGTGTAACTGCAGATTGTGCTGACAGTGTCTATGGCACAAAAAAAAAAAAAAATTAAAATGCCTCAACATGAACCCCTGGTGGTCTCTGAGGGTGAAACCTGCTAACTGCTGCAGCTCTGTCAGCTTCAGTCTCCCATGCAGAGCTCTGAGCGCATGTGTGGCTCTGCACCCTTAGCAGCGTTGCTAACTCCTCAGTAAGGAAAGCCTGCTTCATGTCAGAGTCTCTAAACTCCAGAAGAAGTCGATAAAAGTCCCTTTCTTTCTAAAAAAAAGTCGTTAGGGGGTCTGAAAAGTCATTGAATCTAACAACAAAGTCGCTAGGTTTGCAACTACGTGTCCCAGACTGCATCCCTGCTGAGAGTCCCTCCCTCCCTTCTCATGTTGCAGGAAGAACGTAAGCGCCCGCCCCTTGTCAATCAGTCACCATATAATTTTGGATTGGTTGTTGTGGTGAAGTTTTCCACCAATAGGAGAGATGTTGTGGTGTGTTTTTTTTTTCTTTTGGCAAGCCTTTTCCGCCTGTAAGACCTGTCGCTAATGTCTGCATGCTATGTTTTCCTGTCTCATACAGCGCGATCGAGCGCCGAACGTGATCAAAATAAGCAGAAAACAAGTATCGCGGACATAATTTATCATAACTCTGGTTTTATTTGGCCTATCAACACAATTTAAAAACTGGTATATAGGTTGAGGTCCTCACTTTTGAGATAAGTTGAAACGGAGAGTCAACGAGGCTCCGTCTTGCAGCTACATCCGGTTAAATATGTCATGTGACTTGAACGCACACATAGACACACACACACGCACACACACACACACACACACACACACACACACACACACACACACACACTCAGAGTCTGGTTTTTAGCACCTGCAAAAACATGCTATTTACATATTTGACAAGAATGCAGAGGCTCCTTTTGCCCCTGAAAAAAATCAAATTTCAAACACAACTTGACTGGTCATTTCTCCAAAAGACAACCATGAAGCTCCATCCAAACCTGAAGCAGGCAGTTGGTGCATGTGTACAGTAACCTGAGGGGAGTGAGGTGAGTGCTTCTGAGGAGAACATGAGCAGTGAAGATTCACCTTGGAGCTAGAACAGAGACATGCACATGATTATACAGGGGCAGGGGCTCAAGTTTTTTCCAGTCGTTTATACAATATGGAAATTAATGTGAAATTAAAACACAAAGTATTAATAGAAAGGTAATGACTGTCCTGTGTAGGTGACAGTGATATCCAATAGGCTAGGCACTCACGAGGCTGGCTGTGGCAAGTGTAAGTGAAAGCAACACGCACTGGCAGGAAGAACAGCAAACGCCGATGAAGGAAAAGGGTCTTTGCAGTGATGGGCGTTAACAGAGAGGGCGATGGCCAGAGGACACAAATGGGACGGGGAGGCAGCACGTTGGGGGGGGGGGGGGGGGACACGCGACACGGCTCGGGCCCGCCAGTGCCCCAACGGGGTCCTAGTTAGGGCCCGAGCGTAGCTGCTAAGCAGCTGCGAGAGCCCTATTATTCCCCAAGTGGTTTTTCTTTGTTTCTTTTTAGGGCCCGAGCCAGCTGCAGAGCAGCCGGGCGTAGGCCCTATTATTCCCCAAGTGGTTTTTCTTTGTTTCTTTCTTTCTTTCTTTCTTCTTTTTCCTCCCCGTTGAACTGGAAAATGGCCCACTTCCCACTGGCGAAAACTCATGAAATTTGGCAGGACGACCGGGCCTGGTGAAAAATTCGATATTCTGAAGTCGCCCAAACAATAAAATGCAAAATGGCTCCATAGCGCCCCCTAAGGTGGAAATTCACACTATTGACTGTCACGCCTGTACGCTTTGTCATATTGACACAAAAATTGACACACATATGTATCTCAATAAGATCTACAAAAAAGTCAGTGCGGCCGTATCTGTCAAAATTACGGTTAAAGGGTTATTTCGCATTTTTTGCCGATCCGCACACATTGGAATTTCGCTAACTCCTCCGAAGGCTTTCGTTCCACCGGCACCACATTTGCTCAGGCCAATCTACACCCCATGGCCATTAAAAGTTATTCAAATCATGACGCTGCACCCCACGGTTTAGGTTCTAGGGGGCGCCAAAGATAACCGTAAAATCCACATATTTAAAAGTCTTATAACTTTTTATTTTTGTCCCCACTGGCCTCCAAGTTTTCTAGGATGATGCAATGTCCAGCCATCAACACATTTGTGAAGGAATTTTTACTCGCCAAAAGAGCGCCCCCCCATGGCAGGAGAAAAAAGTCCATTTTTTCTTGTCAACTAAGGTGAAAATACACATTGTTGAGTGCTACGCCTGTATGTTTTGTCGTATTGACACAAAATTTTACATACACGTGTATTTCAATAAGATCTTCGAAAAAGTCAATGGCCACGTATCTGTAAAATGTACGGTTAAAGGGTTATTTCGCATTTTTTGCAGATTCGCACACATTGGAATTTCGCTAACTCCTCCAAAGGCTTTCGTTCCACCGGCACCACATTTGCTCAGGCCAATCTACACCCCATGGCCATTAAAAGTTATTCAAATCATGACGCTGCACCCCACGGTTTAGGTTCTAGGGGGCGCCAAAGATAACCCTAAAATCCACATATTTAAAAGTCTTATAACTTTTTATTTTTGTCCTCACTGGCCTCCAAGTTTTCTAGGATGATGCAATGTCCAGCCATCAACACATTTGTGAAGGAGTTTTTTCTCGTTAAAAGAGCGCCCCCCCATGGCAGGAGAATAAAGTCAAGTTTTTCCTGTTCATCATTCAATGGCTCAAACGCACTGCTCTCTCGGCAAAAGCGAAAGGAGGAGCAACTTGCCATTTGGATATATCTTAGCTGTGTTTGTGCCCTCACTCATGGTCCAGATTTTTTTCAAATAGGACATGGAGTTTTTCTGCAGCGAGCGTTTTGGTAGAAACTGCGCCTCCCGTTCATTATAATGGTAAATGACCACAAACAAGTGCGCACACCATCTTTGGACCTTGAGTGTGACGCGATCGGGTGGGGGAGGCGGTCGCGCTGGGGGCGGCGTGACACGGCTCGGGCCCGCCAGTGCCCCAACGGGGCCCTAGTTAGGGCCCGAGCGTAGCTGCTAAGCAGCTGCGAGAGCCCTCTTGTTCCTGCATGTTTCCTTCTTTTGTTATTATTATTATTTTTCCTCCCCTTTGAACTGGAAAATGGCCCACTTCCCACTGGCGAAAACTCATGAAATTTGGCAGGACGACCGGGCCTGGTGAAAAATTTGATATTCCGAAGTCGCCCAAACAAGAAAATGCAAAATGGCTCCATAGCGCCCCCTAAGGTGAAAATTCACACTATTGACTGTCACGCCTGTACGCTTTGTCAAAATGACACAAAAATTGACACACACATGTATCTCAATAAGATCTACAAAAAAGTCAGTGCGGCCGTATCTGTCAAATGTACGGTTAAAGGGTTATTTCGCATTTTTTGCCGATCCGCACACATTGGACTTTCGCTAACTCCTCCGAAGGCTTTCGTTCCACCGGCACCACATTTGCTCAGGCCAATCTACACCCCATGGCCATTAAAAGTTATTCAAATCATGACGCTGCACCCCACGGTTTAGGTTCTAGGGGGCGCCAAAGATAACCCTAAAATCCACATATTTAAAAGTCTTATAACTTTTTATTTTTGACCTCACTGGCCTCCAAGTTTTCTAGGATGATGCAATGTCCAGCCATCAACACATTTGTGAAGGAATTTTTAATCCCCAAAAGAGCGCCCCCCATGGCTGGAGAAAAAAGTCAATTTTTTCTTGTCCCCTAAGGTGAAAATACACATTGTCGAGTGTCACGCCTGTACGCTTTGTCATATTGACACAAAATTTGACACACACATGTATCTCAATAAGTTCTACGAAAAAGTCAATGCGCGCGTATCTGTCAAATGTACGGTCAAAGGGTTATTCCGCATTTTTTGCCGATCCGCACACATTGGACTTTCGCTAACTCCTCCGAAGGCTTTCGTTCCACCGGCACCACATTTGCTCAGGCCAATCTACACCCCATGGCCATTAAAAGTTATTCAAATCATGACGCTGCACCCCACGGTTTAGGTTCTAGGGGGCGCCAAAGATAACCCTAAAATCCACATATTTAAAAGTCTTATAACTTTTTATTTTTGACCTCACTGGCCTCCAAGTTTTCTAGGATGATGCAATGTCCAGCCATCAACACATTTGTGAAGGAATTTTTAATCCCCAAAAGAGCGCCCCCCCATGGCTGGAGAAAAAAGTCAATTTTTTCTTGTCCCCTAAGGTGAAAATACACATTGTCGAGTGTCACGCCTGTACGCTTTGTCATATTGACACAAAATTTGACACACACATGTATCTCAATAAGTTCTACGAAAAAGTCAATGCGCGCGTATCTGTCAAATGTACGGTCAAAGGGTTATTCCGCATTTTTTGCTGATCCGCACACATTGGAATTTCGCTAACTCCTCCTAAGGCTGGCGTTCCACCGGCACCACATTTGCTCAGGCCAATCTACACCCCATGGCCATTAAAAGTTATTCAAATCATGACGCTGCACCCCACGGTTTAGGTTCTAGGGGGCGCCAAAGATAACCCTAAAATCCACATATTTCAAAGTCTTATAACTTTTTATTTTTGTCCTCACTGGCCTCCAAGTTTTCTAGGATGATGCAATGTCCAGCCATCAACACATTTGTGAAGGAATTTTTACTCCCCAAAAGAGCGCCCCCCCATGGCAGGAGAAAAAAGTCCATTTTTTCTTGTCCCATAAGGTGAAAAAACACATTGTTGACTGTCATACCTGTACGCTTTGTCATATTGACACAAAATTTGACAATCACATGTATCTCAATAAGATCTACGAAAAAGTCAATGCGCGCGTATCTGTAAAATGTACGGTTAAAGGGCTATTTTGCAATTTTTGCCGATTCGCACACATTGGAATGTGGCTAACTCCTCCTAAGGCTTTCGTCCCACTGACACCAAATTTGCTCAGGCCAATCTACACCCCATGGCCATTCAAAGTTGTAAAAATCATGACGCTGCACCCCACGGTTTACGTTCTAGGGGGCGCCAAAGATGACCCAAATATCCACATTCTTAAAAGAATCCACATCCCCCCCCCCCATCCCCCAACCCCCATGGCAGGAGAAACAGTCAAGTTTTTCCTGCCCATCACTCAATGGCTCAATCGCATCACTCTCCCGGCAACACCGTAACAAGGAGCAACTTGCCGTTTGGATATATCCTAGCTGTGTTTGTGCCCTCACTCATGGTCCAGACTTTTTTCAAATAGGACATGTAGTTTGTCTGCAGCGAGTGTTTTGGTAGAAACTGCGCCTCCCATTCATTATAATGGGAAATGACCACAGACAAGTGCGCACACCATCTTTGGACCTTGAGTGTGACGCGATCGGGAGGGGGAGGCGGTCGCGCTGGGGGCGGCGCAACGTGGCTCGGGCCCGACAGTGCCCCACCGGGGCCCTAGTGTTCTCCTTGTTTTTGTTCCTGCATTTCAACTTCTCCTTGTGTCTAGTCTTCTCATTTTTAGGGCCCGAGCGTAGCTGCTAAGCAGCTGCGAGAGCCCTCTTGTTCCTGTAGTTTCCTTCTTTTGTTATTATTATTATTATTTTTCCTCCCCTTTGAACTGGAAAATGGCCCACTTCCCACTGGCGAAAACTCATGAAATTTGGCAGGACGACCGGGCCTGGTGAAAAATTTGATATTCCGAAGTCGCCCAAACAAGAAAATGCAAAATGGCTCCATAGCGCCCCCTAAGGTGAAAATTCACACTATTCACTGTCACGCCTGTACGCTTTGTCAAAATGACACAAAAATTGACACACACATGTATCTCAATAAGATCTACAAAAAAGTCAGTGCGGGCGTATCTGTCAAATGTACGGTTAAAGGGTTATTTCGCATTTTTTGCCGATCCGCACACATTGGAATTTCGCTAACTCCTCCGAAGGCTTTCGTTCCACCGGCACCACATTTGCTCAGGCCAATCTACACCCCATGGCCATTAAAAGTTATTCAAATCATGACGCTGCACCCCACGCTTTAGGTTCTAGGGGGCGCCAAAGATAACCCTAAGATCCACATATTTAAAAGTCTTATAACTTTTTATTTTTGCCCTCACTGGCCTCCAAGTTTTCTAGGATGATGCAATGTCCAGCCATCAACACATTTGTGAAGGAATTTTTACTCCCCAAAAGAGCGCCCCCCATGGCAGGAGAAAAAAGTCCATTTTTTCTTGTCCCCTAAGGTGAAAATACACATTGTTGAGTGTAACACCTGTACGCTTTGTCAAAATGACACAAAAATTGACACACACATGTATCTCAATAAGATCTACAAAAAAGTCAATGCGCGCGTATCTGTCAAATGTACGGTTAAAGGGTTATTCCGCATTTTTTGCCGATCCGCACACATTGGAATTTCGCTAACTCCTCCAAAGGCTTTCGTTCCACCGGCACCACATTTGCTCAGGCCAATCTACACCCCATGGCCATTAAAAGTTATTCAAATCATGACGCTGCACCCCACGCTTTAGGTTCTAGGGGGCGCCAAAGATAACCCTAAGATCCACATATTTAAAAGTCTTATAACTTTTTATTTTTGCCCTCACTGGCCTCCAAGTTTTCTAGGATGATGCAATGTCCAGCCATCAACACATTTGTGAAGGAATTTTTACTCGGCAAAAGAGCGCCCCCCATGGCAGGAGAAAAAAGTCCATTTTTTCTTGTCCACTAAGGTGAAAATACACATTGTTGAGTGCTACGCCTGTATGTTTTGTCGTATTGACACAAAATTTTACATACACGTGTATTTCAATAAGATCTTCGAAAAAGTCAATGGCCACGTATCTGTAAAATGTACGGTTAAAGGGTTATTTCGCATTTTTTGCAGATTCGCACACATTGGAATTTCGCTAATTCCTCCGAAGGCTTTCGTTCCACCGGCACCACATTTGCTCAGGCCAATCTACACCCCATGGCCATTAAAAGTTATTCAAATCATGACGCTGCACCCCACGGTTTAGGTTCTAGGGGGCGCCAAATATAACCCTAAAATCCACATATTTAAAAGTCTTATAACTTTTTATTTTTGTCCTCACTGGCCTCCATGTTTTCTAGGATGATGCAATGTCCAGCCATCAACACATTTGTGAAGGAGTTTTTTCTCTTTAAAAGAGCGCCCCCCATGGCAGGAGAATAAAGTCAAGTTTTTCCTGTTCATCATTCAATGGCTCAAACGCACTGCTCTCTCGGCAAAAGCGAAAGGAGGAGCAACTTGCCATTTGGATATATCTTAGCTGTGTTTGTGCCCTCACTCATGGTCCAGACTTTTTTCAAATAGGACATGGAGTTTTTCTGCAGCGAGCGTTTTGGTAGAAACTGCGCCTCCCGTTCATTATAATGGTAAATGACCACAAACAAGTGCGCACACCATCTTTGGACCTTGAGTGTGACGCGATCGGGTGGGGGAGGCGGTCGCGCTGGGGGCAGTGTGACACGGCTCGGGCCCGCCAGTGCCCCAACGGGGCCCTAGTTTCTTTTTCCTCCCCTTTGAACTGGAAAATGGCCCACTTCCCACTGGCGAAAACTCATGAAATTTGGCAGGACGACCGGGCCTGGTGAAAAATTTGATATTCTGAAGTCGCCCAAACAATACAATGCAAAATGGCTCCATAGCGCCCCCTAAGGTGAAAAATTCACCTGACGCCTGTACGCTTTGTCAAAATGACACAAAAATTGACACACACATGTATCTCAATAAGATCTACAAAAAAGTCAGTGCGGGCGTATCTGTCAAATGTACGGTTAAAGGGTTATTGCGCATTTTTTGCCGATCCGCACACATTGGAATTTCGCTAACTCCTCCGAAGGCTTTCGTTCCACCGGCACCACATTTGCTCAGGCCAATCTACACCCCATGGCCATTAAAAGTTATTCAAATCATGACGCTGCACCCCACGGTTTAGGTTCTAGGGGGCGCCAAAGATAACCCTAAAATCCACATATTTCAAAGTCTTATAACTTTTTATTTTTGCCCTCACTGGCCTCCAAGTTTTCTAGGATGATGCAATGTCCAGCCATCAACACATTTGTGAAGGAATTTTTACTCCCCAAAAGAGCGCCCCCCCATGGCAGGAGAAAAAAGTCCATTTTTTCTTGTCCCATAAGGTGAAAATTCACACTATTGACTGTCACGCCTGTACGCTTTGTCAAAATTACACAAAAATTGACACACACATGTATCTCAATAAGATCTACAAAAAAGTCCTGCGCGCGTATCTATCAAATGTACGGTTAAAGGGTTATTGCGCATTTTTTGCCGATACGCACACATTGGAATTTCGCTAACTCCTCCGAAGGCTTTCGTTCCACCGGCACCACATTTGCTCAGGCCAATCTACACCCCATGGCCATTAAAAGTTATTCAAATCATGACGCTGCATCCCATGGTTTAGGTTCTAGGGGGCGCCAAAAATAACCCAAAAATCCACATTCTTAAATGTTTTATAACTTTTTTTTTTTGTCCTCACTGGCCTCCAAGTTTTCTAGGATGATGCAATGTCCAGCCATCAACACATTTGTGAAGGAATTTTTACTCCCCAAAAGAGCGCCCCCCCATGGTAGGAGAAAAAAGTCAATTTTTTCTTGTCCCCTTACATGAAAATACACATTGTTGAGTGTCACGCCTGAACGCTATGTCATATTGACACAAAAATTGAGAATCATGTGTATCTCAATTAGATCTATGAAAAAGTCAAAGAGCGCGTATCTGTATAATGTACGGTTAAAGGGCTATTTTGCATTTTTTGCCGATTCGCACACATTGGAATGTGGCTATCTCCTCCTAAGGCTTTCGTCCCACCGATACCAAATTTGCTCAGGGCAATCTACACCCCATGCCCATTCAAAGTTGTAAAAATCATGATGCTGCACCCCACGGTTTACGTTCTAGGGGGCGCCAAAGATGACCCAAAAATCCACATTCTTAAAAGTCATTTTGGCCACTGCAGGAGTACAGAGTACTGCAGTTCTAGGGGGCGCCAAAGATGACCCAAAAATCCACATTCTTAAAAGTCTTTTTGGCCACTGCAGGAGTACAGAGTACTGCAGGATACACACACATATACACACACGCCAACATACACACACACACAGACACACACACACACACACACACACACACACTCAGAGTCTGTTTTTTAGCACCTGCAAAAACATGCTGTTTACATATTTGACAAGAATGCAGAGGCTTCCTTTTGCCCCTGAAAAAAATCAAATTTCAAACACAACTTGACTGTTCATTTCTCCAAAAGACAACCATGAAGCTCCATCCAAACCTGAAGCAGATAGTTGGTGCATGTGTACAGTAACCTGAGGGGAGTGAGGTGACTATTTCTGAGGAGAACATGAGCAGTGAAGATTCACCTTGGAGCTAGAACAGGGACGTGCACATGATTATACAGGGGCAGGGGCTCAAGTTTTTTCCAGTCATTTATACAATATGGAAATTAATGTGAAATTAAACCACAAATATATGTGATGAACTGTTTTTAAAACTTAAACTTCAAATAAAAATTGTAAACTTCAAAACATATGCAAATTTTTAACAAAGAACATAGTAATTTACCTCTATTTACATCAAAATGCAGGCAATGGCCCAGGCGTTCTTTGTAAAATTATTTACAAAACACTGTATAGTCTCACAAATGTCACTTTTTATTTATGCCACTACAAAAAAACATGATGTAAATGATGCATGATGTAAAACATGATGTAAGAAACTTGTGTAGATCCTCCTCTATGTTAGTCCATGTGTAATCTTTCCATAATTCTTTGTTTTTTGCAGCATTTTTGTTAGTGTAACTGCAGATTGTGCTGACAGTGTCTATGGCAAAAAAAAAAAAAAAACTGAAAATGCCTCAACATGAACCCCTGGTGGTCTCTGAGGGTGAAACCTGCTAACTGCTGCAGCTCTGTCAGCTTTAGTCTCCCATGCAGAGCTCGGAGCGCATGTGTGGCTCTGCACCCTTAGCAGCGTTGCTAACTCCTCAGTAAGGAAAGCCTGCTTCATGTCAGAGTCTCTAAACTCCAGAAGAAGTCGATAAAAGTCCCTTTCTTTCTAAAAAAAAGTCGTTAGGGGGTCTGAAAAGTCATTGAATCTAACAACAAAGTCGCTAGGTTTGCAACTACGTGTCCCAGACTGCATCCCTGCTGAGAGTCCCTCCCTCCCTTCTCATGTTGCAGGAAGAACGTAAGCGCCCCCCTTGTCAATCAGTCACCATATAATTTTGGATTGGTTGTTGTGGTGAAGTTTTCCACCAATAGGAGAGATGTTGTGGTGTGTTTTTTTTTTCTTTGGCAAGCCTTTTCCGCCTGTAAGACCTGTCGCTAATGTCTGCATGCTATGTTTTCCTGTCTCATACAGCGCGATCGAGCGCCGAACGTGATCAAAATAAGCAGAAAAAAAGTATCGCGGACATAATTTATCATAACTCTGGTTTTATTTGGCCTATCAACACAATTTAAAAACTGGTATATAGGTTGAGGTCCTCACTTTTGAGATAAGTTGAAACGGAGAGTCAACGAGGCTCCGTCTTGCTGCTACATCCGGTTAAATATGTAATGTGACTTGAACGCACACACAGACACACACACACGCACACACACACACACACACACTCAGAGTCTGGTTTTTAGCACCTGCAAAAACATGCTATTTACATATTTGACAAGAATGCAGAGGCTCCTTTTGCCCCTGAAAAAAATCAAATTTCAAACACAACTTGACTGCTCATTTCTCCAAAAGACAACCATGAAGCTCCATCCAAACCTGAAGCAGGCAGTTGGTGCATGTGTACAGTAACCTGAGGGGAGTGAGGTGAGTGCTTCTGAGGAGAACATGAGCAGTGAAGATTCACCTTGGAGCTAGAACAGAGACATGCACATGATTATACAGGGGCAGGGGCTCAAGTTTTTTCCAGTCGTTTATACAATATGGAAATTAATGTGAAATTAAAACACAAAGTATTAATAGAAAGGTAATGACTGTCCTGTGTAGGTGACAGTGATATCCAATAGGCTAGGCACTCACGAGGCTGGCTGTGGCAAGTGTAAGTGAAAGCAACACGCACTGGCAGGAAGAACAGCAAACGCCGATGAAGGAAAAGGGTCTTTGCAGTGATGGGCGTTACCAGAGAGGGCGATGGCCAGAGGACACAAATGGGACGGGGAGGCAGCACGTTGGGGGGGGGGACGCGACACGGCTCGGGCCCGCCAGTGCCCCAACGGGGTCCTAGTTCTTCTTTTTCCTCCCCTTTGAACTGGAAAATGGCCCACTTCCCACTGGCGAAAACTCATGAAATTTGGCAGGATGACCGGGCCTGGTGAAAAATTTGATATTCCGAAGTCGCCCAAACAAGAAAATGCAAAATGGCTCCATAGCGCCCCCTAAGGTGAAAATTCACACTATTGACTGTCACGCCTTTACGCTTTGTCATATTGACACAAAAATTGACACACACATGTATCTCAATAAGATCTACAAAAAAGTCAGTGCGGGCGTATCTGTCAAATGTACGGTTAAAGGGTTATTTCCGCATTTTTTGCCGATCCGCACACATTGGAATTTCGCTAACTCCTCCGAAGGCTTTCGTTCCACCGGCACCACATTTGCTAAGGCCAATCTACACCCCATGGCCATTAAAAGTTATTCAAATCATGACGCTGCACCCCACGGTTTAGGTTCTAGGGGGCGCCAAAGATAACCCTAGAATCCACATATTTAAAAGTCTTATAACTTTTTATTTTTGCCCTCACTGGCCTCCAAGTTTTCTAGGATGATGCAATGTCCAGCCATCAACACATTTGTGAAGGAATTTTTACTCCCCAAAAGAGCGCCCCCCCATGGCAGGAGAAAAAAGTCCATTTTTTCTTGTCCCCTAAGGTGAAAATACACATTGTTGAGTGTCACGCCTGTACGCTTTGTCATATTGACACAAAATTTGACACACACATGTATCTCAATAAGATCTACGAAAAAGTCAATGCGCACGTATCTGTCAAATGTACGGTTAAAGGGTTATTCCGCATTTTTTGCCTGATACTCACACATTGGAATTTCGCTAACTCCTCCTAAGGCTGGCGTTCCACCGGCACCACATTTGCTCAGGCCAATCTACACCCCATGGCCATTAAAAGTTATTCAAATCATGACGCTGCACCCCACGGTTTAGGTTCTAGGGGGCGCCAAAGATAACCCTAAAATCCACATATTTCAAAGTCTTATAACTTTTTATTTTTGTCCTCACTGGCCTCCAAGTTTTCTAGGATGATGCAATGTCCAGCCATCAACACATTTGTGAAGGAATTTTTACTCCCCAAAAGAGCGCCCCCCCATGGCAGGAGAAAAAAGTCCATTTTTTCTTGTCCCATAAGGTGAAAAAACACATTGTTGACTGTCATACCTGTACGCTTTGTCATATTGACACAAAATTTGACAATCACATGTATCTCAATAAGATCTACGAAAAAGTCAATGCGCGCGTATCTGTAAAATGTACGGTTAAAGGGCTATTTTGCATTTTTTGCCGATTCGCACACATTGGAATTTCGCTAACTCCTCCGAAGGCTTTCGTTCCACCGGCACCACATTTGCTCAGGCCAATCTACACCCCGTGGCCATTAAAAGTTATCAAAATCATGACGCTGCACCCCACGGTTTAGGTTCTAGGGGGCGCCAAAGATGACCCAAATATCCACATTCTTAAAAGAATCCACATCCCCCCCCCATCCCCCAACCCCCATGGCAGGAGAAACAGTCAAGTTTTTCCTGCCCATCACTCAATGGCTCAATCGCATCACTCTCCCGGCAACACCGTAACGAGGAGCAACCTGCCATTTGGATATATCCTAGCTGTGTTTGTGCCCTCACTCATGGTCCAGACTTTTTTCAAATAGGACATGAAGTTTGTCTGCAGCGAGTGTTTTGGTAGAAACTGCGCCTCCCATTCATTATAATGGGAAATGACCACAGACAAGTGCGCACACCATCTTTGGACCTTGAGTGTGACGCGATCGGGAGGGGGAGGCGGTCGCGCTGGGGGCGGCGCGACGCGGCTCGGGCCCGACAGTGCCCCACCGGGGTCCTAGTTAGGGCCCGAGCGTAGCTGCTAAGCAGCTGCGAGAGCCCTATTATTCCCCAAGTGGTTTTTCTTTGTTTCTTTTTTCTTTTTCCTCCCCTTTGAACTGGAAAATGGCCCACTTCCCACTGGCGAAAACTCATGAAATTTGGCAGGACGACCGGGCCTGGTGAAAAATTTGATATTCTGAAGTCGCCCAAACAATACAATGCAAAATGGCTCCATAGCGCCCCCTAAGGTGAAAAATTCACCTGACGCCTGTACGCTTTGTCAAAATGACACAAAAATTGACACACACATGTATCTCAATAAGATCTACAAAAAAGTCAGTGCGGGCGTATCTGTCAAATGTACGGTTAAAGGGTTATTGCGCATTTTTTGCCGATCCGCACACATTGGAATTTCGCTAACTCCTCCGAAGGCTTTCGTTCCACCGGCACCACATTTGCTCAGGCCAATCTACACCCCATGGCCATTAAAAGTTATTCAAATCATGACGCTGCACCCCACGGTTTAGGTTCTAGGGGGCGCCAAAGATAACCCTAAAATCCACATATTTCAAAGTCTTATAACTTTTTATTTTTGCCCTCACTGGCCTCCAAGTTTTCTAGGATGATGCAATGTCCAGCCATCAACACATTTGTGAAGGAATTTTTACTCCCCAAAAGAGCGCCCCCCCATGGCAGGAGAAAAAAGTCAATTTTTTCTTGTCCCATAAGGTGAAAATTCACACTATTGACTGTCACGCCTGTACGCTTTGTCAAAATTACACAAAAATTGACACACACATGTATCTCAATAAGATCTACAAAAAAGTCCTGCGCGCGTATCTATCAAATGTACGGTTAAAGGGTTATTGCGCATTTTTTGCCGATACGCACACATTGGAATTTCGCTAACTCCTCCGAAGGCTTTCGTTCCACCGGCACCACATTTGCTCAGGCCAATCTACACCCCATGGCCATTAAAAGTTATTCAAATCATGACGCTGCATCCCATGGTTTAGGTTCTAGGGGGCGCCAAAAATAACCCAAAAATCCACATTCTTAAATGTTTTATAACTTTTTTTTTTTGTCCTCACTGGCCTCCAAGTTTTCTAGGATGATGCAATGTCCAGCCATCAACACATTTGTGAAGGAATTTTTACTCCCCAAAAGAGCGCCCCCCCTGGTAGGAGAAAAAAGTCAATTTTTTCTTGTCCCCTTACATGAAAATACACATTGTTGAGTGTCACGCCTGAACGCTATGTCATATTGACACAAAAATTGAGAATCATGTGTATCTCAATTAGATCTATGAAAAAGTCAAAGAGCGCGTATCTGTATAATGTACGGTTAAAGGGCTATTTTGCATTTTTTGCCGATTCGCACACATTGGAATGTGGCTATCTCCTCCTAAGGCTTTCGTCCCACCGATACCAAATTTGCTCAGGGCAATCTACACCCCATGCCCATTCAAAGTTGTAAAAATCATGATGCTGCACCCCACGGTTTACGTTCTAGGGGGCGCCAAAGATGACCCAAAAATCCACATTCTTAAAAGTCATTTTGGCCACTGCAGGAGTACAGAGTACTGCAGTTCTAGGGGGCGCCAAAGATGACCCAAAAATCCACATTCTTAAAAGTCTTTTTGGCCACTGCAGGAGTACAGAGTACTGCAGGATACACACACATATACACACACGCCAACATACACACACACACAGACACACACACACACACACACACACACACACTCAGAGTCTGTTTTTTAGCACCTGCAAAAACATGCTGTTTACATATTTGACAAGAATGCAGAGGCTTCCTTTTGCCCCTGAAAAAAATCAAATTTCAAACACAACTTGACTGTTCATTTCTCCAAAAGACAACCATGAAGCTCCATCCAAACCTGAAGCAGATAGTTGGTGCATGTGTACAGTAACCTGAGGGGAGTGAGGTGACTATTTCTGAGGAGAACATGAGCAGTGAAGATTCACCTTGGAGCTAGAACAGGGACGTGCACATGATTATACAGGGGCAGGGGCTCAAGTTTTTTCCAGTCATTTATACAATATGGAAATTAATGTGAAATTAAACCACAAATATATGTGATGAACTGTTTTTAAAACTTAAACTTCAAATAAAAATTGTAAACTTCAAAACATATGCAAATTTTTAACAAAGAACATAGTAATTTACCTCTATTTACATCAAAATGCAGGCAATGGCCCAGGCGTTCTTTGTAAAATTATTTACAAAACACTGTATAGTCTCACAAATGTCACTTTTTATTTATGCCACTACAAAAAAACATGATGTAAATGATGCATGATGTAAAACATGATGTAAGAAACTTGTGTAGATCCTCCTCTATGTTAGTCCATGTGTAATCTTTCCATAATTCTTTGTTTTTTGCAGCATTTTTGTTAGTGTAACTGCAGATTGTGCTGACAGTGTCTATGGCAAAAAAAAAAAAAAAACTGAAAATGCCTCAACATGAACCCCTGGTGGTCTCTGAGGGTGAAACCTGCTAACTGCTGCAGCTCTGTCAGCTTTAGTCTCCCATGCAGAGCTCGGAGCGCATGTGTGGCTCTGCACCCTTAGCAGCGTTGCTAACTCCTCAGTAAGGAAAGCCTGCTTCATGTCAGAGTCTCTAAACTCCAGAAGAAGTCGATAAAAGTCCCTTTCTTTCTAAAAAAAAGTCGTTAGGGGGTCTGAAAAGTCATTGAATCTAACAACAAAGTCGCTAGGTTTGCAACTACGTGTCCCAGACTGCATCCCTGCTGAGAGTCCCTCCCTCCCTTCTCATGTTGCAGGAAGAACGTAAGCGCCCCCCCCTTGTCAATCAGTCACCATATAATTTTGGATTGGTTGTTGTGGTGAAGTTTTCCACCAATAGGAGAGATGTTGTGGTGTGTTTTTTTTTTTCTTTGGCAAGCCTTTTCCGCCTGTAAGACCTGTCGCTAATGTCTGCATGCTATGTTTTCCTGTCTCATACAGCGCGATCGAGCGCCGAACGTGATCAAAATAAGCAGAAAAAAAGTATCGCGGACATAATTTATCATAACTCTGGTTTTATTTGGCCTATCAACACAATTTAAAAACTGGTATATAGGTTGAGGTCCTCACTTTTGAGATAAGTTGAAACGGAGAGTCAACGAGGCTCCGTCTTGCTGCTACATCCGGTTAAATATGTAATGTGACTTGAACGCACACACAGACACACACACACGCACACACACACACACACACACTCAGAGTCTGGTTTTTAGCACCTGCAAAAACATGCTATTTACATATTTGACAAGAATGCAGAGGCTCCTTTTGCCCCTGAAAAAAATCAAATTTCAAACACAACTTGACTGCTCATTTCTCCAAAAGACAACCATGAAGCTCCATCCAAACCTGAAGCAGGCAGTTGGTGCATGTGTACAGTAACCTGAGGGGAGTGAGGTGAGTGCTTCTGAGGAGAACATGAGCAGTGAAGATTCACCTTGGAGCTAGAACAGAGACATGCACATGATTATACAGGGGCAGGGGCTCAAGTTTTTTCCAGTCGTTTATACAATATGGAAATTAATGTGAAATTAAAACACAAAGTATTAATAGAAAGGTAATGACTGTCCTGTGTAGGTGACAGTGATATCCAATAGGCTAGGCACTCACGAGGCTGGCTGTGGCAAGTGTAAGTGAAAGCAACACGCACTGGCAGGAAGAACAGCAAACGCCGATGAAGGAAAAGGGTCTTTGCAGTGATGGGCGTTACCAGAGAGGGCGATGGCCAGAGGACACAAATGGGACGGGGAGGCAGCACGTTGGGGGGGACGCGACACGGCTCGGGCCCGCCAGTGCCCCAACGGGGTCCTAGTTATTATTTTTCCTCCCCTTTGAACTGGAAAATGGCCCACTTCCCACTGGCGAAAACTCATGAAATTTGGCAGGACGACCGGGCCTGGTGAAAAATTTGATATTCCGAAGTCGCCCAAACAAGAAAATGCAAAATGGCTCCATAGCGCCCCCTAAGGTGAAAATTCACACTATTGACTGTCACGCCTATACGCTTTGTCAAAATGACACAAAAATTGACACACACATGTATCTCAATAAGATCTACAAAAAAGTCAGTGCGGGCGTATCTGTCAAATTTACGGTTAAAGGGTTATTTCGCATTTTTTGCCGATCCGCACACATCGGAATTTCGCTAACTCCTCCGAAGGCTTTCGTTCCACCGGCACCACATTTGCTCAGGCCAATCTACACCCCATGGCCATTAAAAGTTATTCAAATCATGACGCTGCACCCCACGGTTTAGGTTCTAGGGGGCGCCAAAGATAACCCTAAAATCCACATATTTAAAAGTCTTATAACTTTTTATTTTTGTCCTCACTGGCCTCCAAGTTTTCTAGGATGATGCAATGTCCAGCCATCAACACATTTGTGAAGGAGTTTTTTCTCGTTAAAAGAGCGCCCCCCCCATGGCAGGAGAATAAAGTCAAGTTTTTCCTGTTCATCATTCAATGGCTCAAACGCACTGCTCTCTCGGCAAAAGCGAAAGGAGGAGCAACTTGCCATTTGGATATATCTTAGCTGTGTTTGTGCCCTCACTCATGGTCCAGACTTTTTTCAAATAGGACATGGAGTTTTTCTGCAGCGAGCGTTTTGGTAGAAACTGCGCCTCCCGTTCATTATAATGGTAAATGACCACAAACAAGTGCGCACACCATCTTTGGACCTTGAGTGTGACGCGATCGGGTGGGGGAGGCGGTCGCGCTGGGGGCGGCGTGACACGGCTCGGGCCCGCCAGTGCCCCAACGGGGCCCTAGTGTTATTATTATTAGGGCCCGAGCCAGCTGCAGAGCAGCCGGGCGTAGGCCCTGTTATTCCTGTAGGGGTTTTTCTTTGTTTCTTTCTTTCTTCTTTTTCCTCCCCTTTGAACTGGAAAATGGCCCACTTCCCACTGGCGAAAACTCATGAAATTTGGCAGGACGACCGGGCCTGGTGAAAAATTCGATATTCTGAAGTCGCCCAAACAATAAAATGCAAAATGGCTCCATAGCGCCCCCTAAGGTGGAAATTCACACTATTGACTGTCACGCCTGTACGCTTTGTCATATTGACACAAAAATTGACACACATATGTATCTCAATAAGATCTACAAAAAAGTCAGTGCGGCCGTATCTGTCAAAATTACGGTTAAAGGGTTATTTCGCATTTTTGCCGATCCGCACACATTGGAATTTCGCTAACTCCTCCGAAGGCTTTCGTTCCACCGGCACCACATTTGCTCAGGCCAATCTACACCCCGTGGCCATTAAAAGTTATCAAAATCATGACGCTGCACCTTAAGGTTTAGGTTCTAGGGGGCGCCAAAGATAACACTAAAATCCACATATTTAAAAGTCTTATAACTTTTTATTTTTGTCCTCACTGGCCTCCAAGTTTTCTAGGATGATGCAATGTCCAGCCATCAACACATTTGTGAAGGAATTTTTACTCCCCAAAAGAGCGCCCCCCCATGGCAGGAGAAAAAAGTCCATTTTTTCTTGTCCCCTAAGGTGAAAATACACATTGTTGAGTGTCACGCCTATACGCTTTGTCAAAATGACACAAAAATTGACACACACATGTAACTCAATAAGATCTACAAAAAAGTCCATGCGCGCGTATCTGTCAAATGTACAGTTAAAGGGTTATTCCGCATTTTTTGCCGATACGCACACATTGGAATTTCGCTAACTCCTCCGAAGGCTTTCGTTCCACCGGCACCACATTTGCTCAGGCCAATCTACACCCCATGGCCATTAAAAGTTATTCAAATCATGATGCTGCACCCCATGGTTTAGGTTCTAGGGGGCGCCAAAAATAACCCAAAAATCCACATTCTTAAATGTTTTATAACTTTTTATTTTTGTCCTCACTGGCCTCCAAGTTTTCTAGGATGATGCAATGTCCAGCCATCAACACATTTGTGAAGGAATTTTTACTCCCCAGAAGAGCGCCCCCCCATGGTAGGAGAAAAAAGTCAATTTTTTCTTGTCCCCTTACATAAAAATACACATTGTTGAGTGTCACGCCTGAACGCTTTGTCATATTGACACAAAAATTGACAATCATGTGTATCTCAATTAGATCTACGAAAAAGTCAAAGAGCGCGTATCTGTATAATGTACGGTTAAAGGGCTATTTTGCATTTTTTGCCGATTCGCACACATTGGAATGTGGCTATCTCCTCCTAAGGCTTTCGTCCCACCGATACCAAATTTGCTCAGGGCAATCTACACCCCATGCCCATTCAAAGTTGTAAAAATCATGACGCTGCACCCCACGGTTTACGTTCTAGGGGGCGCCAAAGATGACCCAAAAATCCACATTCTTAAAAGTCATTTTGGCCACTGCAGGAGTACAGAGTACTGCAGTTCTAGGGGGCGCCAAAGATGACCCAAAAATCCACATTCTTAAAAGTCTTTTTGGCCACTGCAGGAGTACAGAGTACTGCAGGATACACACACATATACACACACGCCAACATACACACACACACACACACACACACACACAGACACACACACACACTCAGAGTCTGTTTTTTAGCACCTGCAAAAACATGCTGTTTACATATTTGACAAGAATGCAGAGGCTTCCTTTTGCCCCTGAAAAAAATCAAATTTCAAACACAACTTGACTGTTCATTTCTCCAAAAGACAACCATGAAGCTCCATTTCAAACCTGAAGCAGATAGTTGGTGCATGTGTACAGTAACCTGAGGGGAGTGAGGTGACTATTTCTGAGGAGAACATGAGCAGTGAAGATTCACCTTGGAGCTAGAACAGGGACGTGCACATGATTATACAGGGGCAGGGGCTCAAGTTTTTTCCAGTCATTTATACAATATGGAAATTAATGTGAAATTAAACCACAAATATGTGTGATGAACTGTTTTTAAAACTTAAACTTCAAATAAAAATTGTAAACTTCAAAACATATGCAAATTTTTAACAAAGAACATAGTAATTTACCTCTATTTACATCAAAATGCAGGCAATGGCCCAGGCGTTCTTTGTAAAATTATTTACAAAACACTGTATAGTCTCACAAATGTCACTTTTTATTTATGCCACTACAAAAAAACATGATGTAAATGATGCATGATGTAAAACATGATGTAAAAAACTTGTGTAGATCCTCCTCTGTCAGTCCATGTGTAATTTTTCCATAATTCTTTGTTTTTTGCAGCATTTTTGTTAGTGTAACTGCAGATTGTGCTGACAGTGTCTATGGCACAAAAAAAAAAAATAAATAAAATGCCTCAACATGAACCCCTGGTGGTCTCTGAGGGTGAAACCTGCTAACTGCTGCAGCTCTGTCAGCTTCAGTCTCCCATGCAGAGCTCTGAGCGCATGTGTGGCTCTGCACCCTTAGCAGCGTTGCTAACTCCTCAGTAAGGAAAGCCTGCTTCATGTCAGAGTCTCTAAACTCCAGAAGAAGTCGATAAAAGTCCCTTTCTTTCTAAAAAAAAGTCGTTAGGGGGTCTGAAAAGTCATTGAATCTAACAACAAAGTCGCTAGGTTTGCAACTACGTGTCCCAGACTGCATCCCTGCTGAGAGTCCCTCCCTCCCTTCTCATGTTGCAGGAAGAACGTAAGCGCCCGCCCCTTGTCAATCAGTCACCATATAATTTTGGATTGGTTGTTGTGGTGAAGTTTTCCACCAATAGGAGAGATGTTGTGGTGTGTTTTTTTTTCTTTTGGCAAGCCTTTTCCGCCTGTAAGACCTGTCGCTAATGTCTGCATGCTATGTTTTCCTGTCTCATACAGCGCGATCGAGCGCCGAACGTGATCAAAATAAGCAGAAAAAAAGTATCGCGGACATAATTTATCATAACTCTGGTTTTATTTGGCCTATCAACACAATTTAAAAACTGGTATATAGGTTGAGGTCCTCACTTTTGAGATAAGTTGAAACGGAGAGTCAACGAGGCTCCGTCTTGCAGCTACATCCGGTTAAATATGTCATGTGACTTGAACGCACACACAGACACACACACACACACACACACACACACACACACACACACACACTCAGAGTCTGGTTTTTAGCACCTGCAAAAACATGCTATTTACATATTTGACAAGAATGCAGAGGCTCCTTTTGCCCCTGAAAAAAATCAAATTTCAAACACAACTTGACTGGTCATTTCTCCAAAAGACAACCATGAAGCTCCATCCAAACCTGAAGCAGGCAGTTGGTGCATGTGTACAGTAACCTGAGGGGAGTGAGGTGAGTGCTTCTGAGGAGAACATGAGCAGTGAAGATTCACCTTGGAGCTAGAACAGAGACATGCACATGATTATACAGGGGCAGGGGCTCAAGTTTTTTCCAGTCGTTTATACAATATGGAAATTAATGTGAAATTAAAACACAAAGTATTAATAGAAAGGTAATGACTGTCCTGTGTAGGTGACAGTGATATCCAATAGGCTAGGCACTCACGAGGCTGGCTGTGGCAAGTGTAAGTGAAAGCAACACACACTGGCAGGAAGAACAGCAAACGCCGATGAAGGAAAAGGGTCTTTGCAGTGATGGGCGTTACCAGAGAGGGCGATGGCCAGAGGACACAAATGGGACGGGAAGGCAGCACGTTGGGGGGGGGACGCGACACGGCTCGGGCCCGCCAGTGCCCCAACGGGGTCCTAGTTATTATTTTTCCTCCGCTTTAAACTGGAAAATGGCCCACTTCCCACTGGCGAAAACTCAGGAAATTTGGCAGGACGACCGGGCCTGGTGAAAAATTCGATATTCTGAAGTCGCCCAAACAATAAAATACAAAATGGCTCCATAGCGCCCCCTAAGGTGAAAATTCACACTATTGACTGTCACGCCTGTACGCTTTGTCATATTGACACAAAAATTGACACACACATGTATCTCAATAAGATCTACAAAAAAGTCAGTGCGGGCGTATCTGTCAAATGTACGGTTAAAGGGTTATTGCGCATTTTTTGCAGATCTGCACACATTGGAATTTCGCTAACTCCTCCGAAGGCTTTCGGTCCACCGGCACCACATTTGCTCAGGCCAATCTACACTCCATGGCCATTCAAAGTTGTACAAATCATGATGCTGCACCCCATGGTTTAGGTTCTAGGGGGCGCCAAAAATAACCCTAAAATCCACATTCTTAAAAGTTTTATAACTTTTTATTTTTGCCCTCACTGGCCTCCAAGTTTTCTAGGATGATGCAATGTCCAGCCATCAACACATTTGTGAAGGAATTTTTACTCCCCAAAAGAGCGCCCCCCATGGCAGGACAAAAAAGTCAATTTTTTCTTGTCCCCTAAGGTGAAAATACACATTGTTGAATGTCACGCCTGTACGCTTTGTCATATTGACACAAAATTTGATAATCACGTGTATCTCAATAAGATCTACGAAAAAGTCAATGCGCGCGTATCTGTAAAATGTACGGTTAAAGGGCTATTTCGCATTTTTTGCCGATTCGCACACATTGGAATGTGGCTAACTCCTCCTAAGGCTTTCGTCCCACTGACACCAAATTTGCTCAGGCCAATCTACACCCCATGGCCATTCAAAGTTGTAAAAATCATGTTGCTGCACCCCATGGTCTACGTTCTAGGGGGCGCCAAAGAGGACCCAAATATCCACATTTTTAAAGTCTTATAACTTTTTATTTTTGTCCTCACTGGCCTCCAAGTTTTCTAGGATGATGCAATGTCCAGCCATCAACACATTTGTGAAGGAATTTTTTCTCCCCAAAAGAGCGCCCCCCCATGGCAGGAGAAAAAGTCAAGTTTTTCCTGCCCATCGCTCAATGGCTCAAACGCATCGCTCTCTCGGCAAAACCAAAAGGAGGAGCAACTTGCCATTTGGATATATACTAGCTGTTTGTGCCCTCACTCATGGTCCAGACTTTTTTCAAATAGGACATGTAGTTTGTCTGCAGCGACCGTTTTGGTAGAAACTGCGCCTCCCATTCATTATAATGGGAAATGACCACAGACAAGTGCGCACACCATCTTTGGACCTTGAGTGTGATGCAATCGGGAGGGGGAGGCGGTCGCGCTGGGGGCGGCGCGACGCGGCTCGGGCCCGACAGTGCCCCACCGGGGCCCTAGTTATTTTTCCTCCCCTTTGAACTGGAAAATGGCCCACTTCCCACTGGCGAAAACTCATGAAATTTGGCAGGACGACCGGGCCTGGTGAAAAATTTGATATTCCGAAGTCGCCCAAACAAGAAAATGCAAAATGGCTCCATAGCGCCCCCTAAGGTGAAAAATTCACCTGACGCCTGTACGCTTTGTCAAAATGACACAAAAATTGACACACACATGTATCTCAATAAGATCTACAAAAAAGTCAGTGCGGGCGTATCTGTCAAATGTACGGTTAAAGGGTTATTGCGCATTTTTTGCCGATCCGCACACATTGGAATTTCGCTAACTCCTCCGAAGGCTTTCGTTCCACCGGCACCACATTTGCTCAGGCCAATCTACACCCCATGGCCATTAAAAGTTATTCAAATCATGACGCTGCACCCCACGGTTTAGGTTCTAGGGGGCGCCAAAGATAACACTAAAATCCACATATTTCAAAGTCTTATAACTTTTTATTTTTGTCCTCACTGGCCTCCAAGTTTTCTAGGATGATGCAATGTCCAGCCATCAACACATTTGTGAAGGAATTTTTACTCCCCAAAAGAGCGCCCCCCCATGGCAGGAGAAAAAAGTCCATTTTTTCTTGTCCCCTAAGGTGAAAATACACATTGTTGAGTGTCACGCCTGTACGCTTTGTCAAAATGACACAAAAATTGACACACACATGTATCTCAATAAGATCTACAAAAAAGTCAATGGGCGCGTATCTGTCAAATGTACGGTTAAAGGGTTATTCCGCATTTTTTGCCGATTCACACACATTGGAATTTCGCTAACTCCTCCGAAGGCTTTCGTTCCACCGGCACCACATTTGCTCAGGCCAAATTACACCCCATGGCCATTAAAAGTTATTCAAATCATGACGCTGCACCCCACGGTTTACGTTCTAGGGGGCGCCAAAGATAACCCAAAAATCCAAATTTTTAAAAGTCTTATAACTTTTTATTTTTGTCCTCACTGGCCTCCAAGTTTTCTAGGATGATGCAATGTCCAGCCATCAACACATTTGTGAAGGAATTTTTACTCCCTAAAAGAGCGCCCCCCCATGGCAGGAGAAAAAAGTCCATTTTTTCTTGTCCCCTAAGGTGAAAATACACATTGTTGACTGTCACGCCTGTACGCTTTGGCAAAATGACACAAAAATTGACAATCATGTGTATCTCAATTAGATCTACGAAAAAGTCAAAGAGCGCGTATCTGTATAATGTACGGTAAAAGGGCTATTTTGCATTTTTTGCCGATTCGCACATATTGGAATTTCGCTAACTCCTCCTAAGGCTTTCGTCCCACTGACACCAAATTTGCTCAGGCCAATCTACACTCCATGGCCATTCAAAGTTGTAAAAATCATGACGCGGCACCCCACGGTTTACGTTTTAGGGGGCGCCAAAGATGACCCAAATATACATTACAGTAGACAAAGTAGTTTTGCCCACTGAGTGGCGCCAAAGGGACTTGTCTGTGGAGTCTGTGAGTCACTATTGGCCGTTTTTGACTACTTTAGATTTTACCTTTATATTTCCTCTTACAAAATTTTTACCTTGCCTTGCCTGGTATCATTTTTTTCAGCACAACCTCACCTGTGTCAATTTACAGTTATTTTATCATTTTGACATACTATATTTACACATTGGACCCAAATTCACACACAAAACATAAAATCCGAGTGGAAAAAAGTAACGTTTTTACTGTGAAAACCACAAATATGTGTGATGAACTGTTTTTAAAACTTAAACTTCAAATAAAAATTGTAAACTTCAAAACATATGCAAATTTTTAACAAAGAACATAGTAATTTACCTCTATTTACATCAAAATGCAGGCAATGGCCCAGGTGTTCTTTGTAAAATTATTTACAAAACACTGTATAGTCTCACAAATGTCACTTTTTATTTATGCCACTACAAAAAAACATGATGTAAATGATGCATGATGTAAAACATGATGTAAAAAACTTGTGTAGATCCTCCTCTATGTCAGTCCATGTGTAATTTTTCCATAATTCTTTGTTTTTTGCAGCATTTTTGTTAGTGTAACTGCAGATTGTGCTGACAGTGTCTATGGCAAAAAAAAAAAAAAAACTGAAAATGCCTCAACATGAACCCCTGGTGGTCTCTGAGGGTGAAACCTGCTAACTGCTGCAGCTCTGTCAGCTTCAGTCTCCCATGCAGAGCTCGGAGCGCATGTGTGGCTCTGCACCCTTAGCAGCGTTGCTAACTCCTCAGTAAGGAAAGCCTGCTTCATGTCAGAGTCTCTAAACTCCAGAAGAAGTCGATAAAAGTCACTTTCTTTCTAAAAAAACGTCGTTAGGGGGTCTGAAAAGTCATTGAATCTAACAACAAAGTCGCTAGGTTTGCAACTACGTGTCCCAGACTGCATCCCTGCTGAGAGTCCCTCCCTCCCTTCTCATATTGCAGGAAGAACGTAAGCGCCCGCCCCTTGTCAATCAGTCACCATATAATTTTGGATTGGTTGTTGTGGTGAAGTTTTCCACCAATAGGAGAGATGTTGTGGTGTGTTTTTTTTTTCCTTTGGCAAGCCTTTTCCGCCTGTAAGACCTGTCGCTAATGTCTGCATGCTATGTTTTCCTGTCTCATACAGCGCGATCGAGCGCCGAACGTGATCAAAATAAGCAGAAAACAAGTATCGCGGACATAATTTATCATAACTCTGGTTTTATTTGGCCTATCAACACAATTTAAAAACTGGTATATAGGTTGAGGTCCTCACTTTTGAGATAAGTTGAAACGGAGAGTCAACGAGGCTCCGTCTTGCAGCTACATCCGGTTAAATATGTCATGTGACTTGAACGCACACACACACACACACACACACACACACACACACACACACACACACACTCAGAGTCTGGTTTTTAGCACCTGCAAAAACATGCTATTTACATATTTGACAAGAATGCAGAGGCTCCTTTTGCCCCTGAAAAAAATCAAATTTCAAACACAACTTGACTGGTCATTTCTCCAAAAGACAACCATGAAGCTCCATCCAAACCTGAAGCAGGCAGTTGGTGCATGTGTACAGTAACCTGAGGGGAGTGAGGTGACTGCTTCTGAGGAGAACATGAGCAGTGAAGATTCACCTTAGAGCTAGAACAGAGACGTGCACATGATTATACAGGGGCAGGGGCTCAAGTTTTTTCCAGTTGTTTATACAATATGGAAATTAATGTGAAATTAAAAAACAAAGTATTAATAGAAAGGTAATGACTGTCCTGTGTAGGTGACAGTGATATCCAATAGGCTAGGCACTCACGAGGCTGGCTGTGGCAAGTGTAAGTGAAAGCAACACGCACTGGCAGGAAGAACAGCAAATGCCGATGAAGGAAAAGGGTCTTTGCAGTGATGGGCGTTACCAGAGAGGGCGATGGCCAGAGGACACAAATGGGACGGGGAGGCAGCGCGTTGGGGGGGGGGACGCGACACAGCTCGTGCCCGCCAGTGCCCCAACGGGGTCCTAGTGTTATTAGGGCCCGAGCCAGCTGCAGAGCAGCCGGGCGTAGAGCCCTATTATTCCTGTATAGGTTTTTCTTTCTTCTTTCTTTCTTTAGGGCCCGAGCGTAGCTGCTAAGCAGCTGCGAGAGCCCTCTTGTTCCTGCATGTTTCCTTCTTTTGTTATTAGGGCCCGAGCGTAGCTGCTAAGCAGCTGCGAGAGCCCTATTATTCCCCAAGTGGTTTTTCTTTGTTTCTTTCTTTCTTCTTTTTCCTCCCCTTTGAACTGGAAAATGGCCCACTTCCCACTGGCGAAAACTCATGAAATTTGGAAGGATGACTGGGCCTGGTGAAAAATTTGATATTCCGAAGTCGCCCAAACAAGAAAATGCAAAATGGCTCCATAGCGCCCCCTAAGGTGAAAATTCACACTATTGACTGTCACGCCTTTACGCTTTGTCAAAATGACACAAAAATTGACACACATATGTATCTCAATAAGATCTACAAAAAAGTCAGTGCGGGCGTATCTGTCAAATGTACGGTTAAAGGGTTATTTCGCATTTTTTGCCAGATCCGCACACATTGGAATTTCGCTAACTCCTCCGAAGGCTTTCTTTCCACCGGCACCACATTTGCTCAGGCCAATCTACACCCCATGGCCATTAAAAGTTATTCAAATCATGACGCTGCACCCCACGGTTTAGGTTCTAGGGGGCGCCAAAGATAACCCTAAAATCCACATATTTAAAAGTCTTATAACTTTTTATTTTTGCCCTCACTGGCCTCCAAGTTTTCTAGGATGATGCAATGTCCAGCCATCAACACATTTGTGAAGGAATTTTTACTCC